TCTTCCAGAGGTTGAATTGCCCTTGATTTGTAGGGTTTTTTTGAGTTATCTCAGGTAAACCCCACTTTTTATATCAATATTTCCTCTCCTAAAACAATCCCAGTCTGGTTTTAGCCCTTAAATCCTCTTCAAATCTTCTTCCAGACTTTGAATTGCCTTTGTTTTTTGTTTTGTTTTGTTTTGTTTTTATTATTTTTTTAAGCCAACCCAGTTTAGCTTTAAAAACCAAAAGTGACTAATAGTTTGTTTTCTCTGCTGGCCAAAAGTCTGGAATATTTTTATCACCAGGAACAGCATTTTTTTCCCTTGGAGATTCTTGCAACATATCCAGTCCTACTCTCACATTTATCAGTTCTAATATAAAAGCAGCAAATTATTTCTCCAGAACAAAATTGCCTTTGGATATTTTATTTAATTATAATTTTTTTTTTAAATTTAATTGCCTGGGCTATGAAAGTRTGGCCAGGGAGTTGAAAATTTGAGCTTCTGGCAAAATTTAAGCTTCTGGCTGCAACTTCCCATCAAATGTTACAAAGGAAATTGGGGAATATTGTCCATTTTTTGTGGAATTTTGCCATTTATCAGTTGGCTCTGTGGGCTTTTAAATCAGCACTTTGCTAGTTTGGGCTTTTCCTCCTTTTTCCTTTTTCATCTTTAAGTTTCTTGGAGGGCTGCAGTTAAATATTCTTGACAACCCAAATGGACTCAACTGGAATTAAATTTTTTATTCCTCCTTTTGGAAGGCATGAAAAGTTTTTTAGATTTAATGAGATAATTTCAATTTAAGATTGAAATACTGCTTTTAATGTGTTATTTAATGTAATTTTGCTGAGAGCAAATAAACCCCAGGCATTTTACTGTAGAGTTAAAGCACCATCTTTTAGGTTTGATAATATTTAAAAAATTCTCAGGGATTTTGGCATTAAATTTTCATTTATCCTTGTGAAAATTTACATGGATAAGATAAGAATTTATATTAATAAAATGAGAATTTGTATTAATAAGAGTGTAACTGCTGCTCATATATCAGAATGTGTATTTTTAACAGAGAGTGATGGAGACCAGTAGAAAATAATTTAAATAATTTTAATAATTTAAATAATAATTTAAATAATAATTTAAATAATAATTTAATTAATTTCTTCATCCAGATCAATCAGGCTCTGATGCTGTGTTTTGATTTTTGTTTTTGTAGCCGTGAGAAGCTGTGGATATGTATGGAATACTGCGGTGGGGGATCCCTCCAGGACATTTACCACGGTACCTGGGCACTTCTTTTTATATTTTTAACTCAAAAAGCTTTCTGCAAATAAAAAAAATAAATAAGAAAACTACAGGGAATGGCTGGAACTGGATGTGRGGGTGTTCTGGGGTATAAATTGTGGGTTTGAGCTGCAATCAGTGGATTTTGACAGCACTTTTTAGATATGGGACCATCATTTTGGGTTAATATTTGACATTTGTGTGACAATTTTGGCTGAATTTGGCATTTTTGACTGTGCATGCAGTGAGGAGACAATTTTCGCTGGGAAATCTCAAAATTTCATCTTTAAGGAGTTAAAAAATGACTCCTGTCCCTGCCCCTGTGCAATACCATCTCACTTTTTTATTTTTATTTTTATTATTTTACTTTCTCAAGTTTCATGTGGAGTTTTTGATGCTGTAGAATAATTCCCTGGAGTTGTTGGAAATGCAGCTGGGAATTTGCTCTGCCTTTAAATGATTTTTTTTAATTCCAGAGTTCTTCCTGCTTTATTTTTCAACTATTTAGTTCAAATACCTTTAGACCAATTCCAAGCCCCACATGTTCCTCATATGGAACATTCCCATTTCTAATATTAAAATATTAACAAAAGTCACTTTTATTTTTAATTTCCTCACAACACAAGGCTACAAAATCTCTTGTAAAATAATAATTAAATTCTGTGAAAAAAGGTTTTCTCCTCACTGTGGGCATTGTCTTCTGTTTTTGTTTTTTTTTTACAGAAAGCCTTTCTGTAAAACAGACAAACAAACCCCTCTTTTCAGTTTTTCTACAATACAAACCATGTAAAACCAGCCTTTAACTGTGGCGTGGACAAACTATTTTTTGGCTGCTTCACAATGTTATTTTTGTGCTGTCAATTTAATTTTTGATTTTTTTATTTCCAGTGACAGGACCTCTGTCGGAGTTACAAATTGCTTATGTGTGCAGAGAAACTTTACAGGTACTGTACTTGCACAATGAAGTGTTTATTCCATGTAAATAAAGATCCTGAAAAATATTAAATTTTAATCTAAATTTAAATCGAATTAAATTAAATCTAAATTTAATTAGATTCAATTTATTAGGAATCACTTCAATTAGGAATTGAGCAGAAATCAATTAACCATTATTAACCTGTTGGCTTCTATGCTAATAAAAATAAAAATGAGAAAAAAATTCTGGTATAATGCAGTGGAAATATTTGGCTGAATTTTGAGCTGTCTGCCTACACTTTGGTTGTAAATTTAATGATATGTGGAGGGAAAATACTGCAACCAGAT